AAAATGTTAAATTCATACACATACATTACACAGCTCAGTTGATAGGGAGAAGTTCTCAGTCAATCCCTCATTATCAGCAGCTGGAAAGTGGTAGCTGGGGTGAATTCAAGTATGATATTTGATACATTGTAAGAACTCTTATAAATGCCACAATGTACCCCCAACCCAGCACAACAATAAAAAAAATACTTATGCAATCTGCCTAGTGTTTCCCTGCCCTTAGTTTTATGAGAGCATGCTCCCCCAAAAAGTATATGGTGCCCAAAAAGCAAAGGTAAAAGTGAATGTGTGTAATTTAAGTGATAAAATGAAAATTTTAGATTTGTTGAAATCTTTAGTGGAAGTTGGGCGGCTTTATGGGAAAAGTGAGTTAAGCATCTGCAGTATATCTCTGAAATCTATCCATCCAGAGTAATTGAGGTTTCTCCTCAACGGTGGTCTCCTTGGAACCATAGCCCCTAGATACCAAGGATCTACTGTATAATGTAACTATATAATGTAATTATATACAATGTAATTATGTATAATGTATAATGTAACTATAACTAATCTCTTATAGCAGGTATTGATCCATCCTATGAAGAATATCATAGGCACAAAAATCATTTGTTGTGTTATTTCTGTCTTCTACAATGTAGACTTAACATCACATTTTTATTGAGATTATTCTGAATGTCTCATGACTTTGACACAGAGAGGTATAGTAACATTGGTGCATAAATATTCTGTTCTATTCCCTTTAACAACAAAGATGACCTTGTCAAAGTGTAACCTTTAAAGGTACACTTGAGGAACTCATTTAGCATAAGAAATTTATTATCCCCTGGGTATAGGAATTCAAAATCTCAATTTGCTTAGCAAATATGAAAAGTAATGTCTCCTGTTGTACATTAACTACATTGAGTCAGTTCATTTCTCTTAGTATCAAATGATAAAATATACTTATATATAATCAAGATATATTCACAGTAGTACTAAAAGAAATGCTGTATACTTGAGATCTGATAAATTATGATACCATTTTCCATGATTAAATTCTTGTTCTTATGTGTATAAAATCTTCAAATTAATGTGTAGAAGTATATAATCCCACAATGTAGAAGGTTACTGCAGAGCATTGTTAGAATTGATAATTTTATCAGTTCCTGTGCAGAAATACTATCTGATCAATATTTTAGTTGCCTGCTGTGTTCCCTGGATTGTATTAGTAATAAAGAAATTCTGTTAAAGGGGAATGTAGAACTATAGTCTTCATTATTTAAGTGAAATGATAAATAGGCCACATAAAGACTTTGGAACCCAATGAAGCAATATTATAAACTGATATAAAATGACAGATATAATTACATGTTAAATTTTGATTCAAAATGTACTATCAGACACAAGTTTAACTTATTTGAGAAAATTTTTTGTCAGAAAAAAAAAATCGATGCCATTTTGAAGGAAGAATGTTAATTGACCCAGAGAGAAGCAGAAAAGCTCAGGTACCTTGTGCAGGGAGGGCAGACCTGTGCCTCACTGGGGTGGAGATTATGCTGCTGGCTAGCAAGGAATATGACTGACCTTCTGGCTTTACATTTCAGTTATAATAAGAGGTTGCCTGACATAATAAACAGACATGAATTCAAAATTCTTTCTTTACTCATCAGGATTGCCATTTATGCACACTTTCTAAGCTGTGGTAACCAAAAGGGATATGAGTCTCATGGTGTAGTTATAAGGATTAAAAGTACTAATCCATGTACAATGCTTGGCACATAATGGCTCTAAACAAATGTTAGTTTTCTTCCTTTTATAGGTCACTGTGACACTGCTGTGCTATTAGGAAATTTATTAAACTGTATTATCTCCATTTGAATATCAAATATAACATATAATCAAAAAGTTGACTATACCGTGTTTTGAGTACTCAGCAGTTGTCTTCGAATGTGTTTTCTTCTAGTGCCCTGGTGGTTTAAAGGATCAGAAATGGTTCAAAGGTCTAGTAGAGCTTTGGCCTGTGTTATTTGTTAACACCATCTGCTGTGCTGAATGGATATATGGCCACATAATTGTTGATAAACAGGTACAACCGAGTAAGTGCTGGACTAAGGCTGATTTACCAGGAAGTTGAACAGCTTACCATTGAGGACTGTCACAAGCACAGGCCCTTTTTAGGCCTTGTGTCTAATTTTTATTTGTCATTTACATTCTTTTCTCTAAAGAAGGCCCCTCAAATTAAATAATGTACAGGTGCCAGAAAATCTAGATCTAGTGGCTACTGGACCATCATGTAAAAGAAAAAAAATGTCATGTAACTGTAAAAGGATAAGGTAACAAATAGCAAGGATTGTCAGTTTTGCTTTTATTACCCAAATTATGATTTTTTTAGTAACTATTGAGCACAGATACTCTATATCCTTGACCACAAACTAGCCCTTGCCTATCTGGGAGGTGCCTTCTAGTCCAGCATCAGCCCAAGAAAAGGGACCAGCTGGCTTGGAGAGGTTTGCAGTAACATTACCCACATAGTTGGTTCCTTACATATTTAGATGGGGAAAGGGAACAGATAGATGGGAGCCAACTTTGTATTGATCTCACTCATTATGTGCCAAATCCATTGATTAGGCACCATACATACATTATTCGTATTTTACAGCACATGGAAAGGAATGTCATTGAAATTAAGGCTCGGAGGAAGTAAAGTAACTTTGATTTAAGCAGCTAGCAAAGCTGAAATTGAAACATAAGTCTTCCTGAAGTCAAAGCCCAGGTTCTTTTGCCTCCCTATGGAGCTGAGGCTTAGTCCCTGGGAGAGAGTACACATTTAACCTGCAATTCACCTAATGTCCTGCCAGCAACTTGGTAGACTTTTCTCTCTTGCATCATTCACTAATCCATGTAGTAAGCACTTTCTGTAATATGCTGCCTGCTACCTAACTATTACTTCTTCAACATTTTCTCAGTCATGTAGAAACTTTCCACATGGAGAAGAACCTAGATTAAATGGATAACAGATAGATCAATTCATATATGTGTGACTTTTTTGTATGGAAATTTTACCATTGCTATGAGTAATGTCTGTTGTTACTTTACATAAACAGCCTCACAAATCCTGAAAGGACTATTAAATTCATATTATTGTTTCATTAAATTTTAGTTTAATCACTTAAAATGAAATACAACAAATGAGTTAGTTAGGTAGGAACGTCAAAATTTTTTATTCTCACAGGGTGCGGGTGGCTCATACCTGTAATCCTAGCTGAGATCGGGAGGATCATGGTTTGAGGTCAACCCAGACAAATAGTTTGCAAGACTCCATCTCCAAAATGACCAGAAAAAATGGGCTGGAGGACTGGCTCAAGAAGTAGAGCCAGCTTTGCAAACATGAAGCTCTGAGTTCAAAACCCAGTCCCACCAAAAAAAAGAAAAAAAGTATTTTCAAAATCTACATGTTTTTAAGTAGGTAGTTTTCTTAATCCCTCAACCTTTTCATCTCTCTTTCACAGAGATCATCTCTTTCTGGATGATTTTATCTCCCAACTTCCATAGTCACTGACCTGCTATTTTTTTTTTTTTTAAAGACAGGGTCTCACTGGCCTCAAATGCTGGATCCTCCTGCCTCATCCTCCCAAGTACAGGGTTTACAGATGTGTAGCACCACACCCAACTACCAGTCTGCTTTTTAAATATGCAGTATTAGCTACACTTCCACCCAAGTTTAGACAACTACACTGTATACTAGAAGAAGCATAATTTCAAATGAATTATGTAAAGTTGTGAAGTGTGGCCATGGCTTAACTGACAAGAGTCAGACAATCCAACTCTTTTACTAATTATTTAAGGTTCACAATTACATTCATACATTCACTGAGTCAAAACTCCCAAAGAAGCATCACAAATAGAAATTTACAATAGTAAGAATTATATTGGGAATGTTTGTAATAAAATTTCTAAGCAAAGTACTCACATATATGACATACATATGTGATATAGTTTCTATTACATATAATGGCATGAGTATCAAGTGCCCTTGTTCCAAATATATGTGAATGAGTGTAGTGTGACAGTTATCATTAAGTGCCTACCCTATAGTGAAATGGGAAGACTGCTTGCAGAAAATCTCATTTGCTCACATGAGAGCTGGTCAGTATAACCACATCTTTTCTTTTGATGAAATAATTAAAGCAGAGTAGATTATTCACAGGCAAAGTAGGCATATATTTGACTGCAAGGTGGCTTCAGTTTAAAAATTGTGTCCATAAGGTCTCTTGAGTCAAAGATCCAGTTATCTCAAAAAGAAATATTTTGATTACGATATGGCCTTGGTGCTTGAGACAGTGACTCCATCTTAGGTATATGGTGAACTACCCAGGAATAGAATCCTTCTGTTCTTTCTGAGTGAAGCTATAGCTACGTGTGACTTGACTGCAGCAATGGGGAAGAGCAGATGCACAGATGGCATTGTACAAATAATCTATAATAAACAACATGAACAAATGATATTAGAGTTAAAAACTAAAATGAAATTGCAAATACACATATATCTGCTGTCATGTCCTTCAGCACAGAAATTTCTCCTCCTTGATAGTTATTCCCAAAAGCTTTTACATAATCCCTTCCTCCAGCAAATACTCCTTCTTCTCCTTTTTCCCCCAAGTCATCTCATTCTTGTGGACCAAAGCATAAACAAAATGTACCTTGACAGTATTTAAGTTGTACTCCACAACTGATTTAAGTGTATATCTGAAAGCACAAAGGAAGGTTCTCTGGAATGTGTTTATATCTTCGTCAAAATGAGCTAACACCTTGAGTACCTCAAGTGTTACTAAGCTTTGCCCACATGAAAGTAATGATAAAAATATGATCTTGGAAGTTTCGATTATGAACAAATCAACAACCTCATGAATGTCACATGAGACTTCTATTTCAGTGAAACTTGTTCTATAAAATTTGCCAGATTTTACTTTTTAAAAACCTTAATAACATGTCTTTGTCTTTACCTCTTTTTTCTAAAACAGATCCATATTCAGAGAACTGAAGGATGTGACCATATGACCTGTTCACAGTGTAACACTAATTTTTGTTATCGATGTGGAGAGAGATACCGCCAACTCCGGTTTTTTGGAGACCACACATCTAACCTCAGTATATTTGGATGCAAATACCGCTACCTCCCAGAGAGACCTCATTTAAGGAGATTAGTGCGAGGGTCAGTCTGTGGTGAGTATCTGACATCCTTATAGGACTCTCCTCTGGAAATGAGGCAGTGGTGATAGAACTTAGAAATATGACAGCCATGATAATCTGAGCACTTGCGGTGTTCCAGGTATTCTAGTGGGACCTTTTATCCCAGAACAGGAGCAAAATATTCTCTCTCCTATTGTGACCAAAATAGAAAGTTTAAGTTTGTTAACAGGATACTCCTTAGGTAAGTAAGCAGGTTTTGTTTGATAACTGAATTAAATTACATTGCAGACATCTGAGGTCATTAGCTTTTTATATTTCTGAGCCTCTTTTTTGTTTAATTTTTCATGCATTTCTGAACTTCTAAGTATAAGCCACTTTATAATAGGTACAATGTCCCTAATGATGTCCTTACTATTTTTATAGGGACAAAATGTAGCAGTGCATCTTACGTATGTCCTCTATTCATTTATGAAGTATATGTGCAGTACAACACTGCATGGAACACAAGCTAGTAACATGAAAAACATGTTTTCCAGTATATCTACACAATTGACGTCAATATATATATATATATATTTCTATTGTATTAATAATTAACAGCTAGCAGTTAATGAAAGGATATCAAAATCCCTCTTTGCATTACAAACCCAAGTTTACTTAGCCAAGTATAAATGCTCTGAGTACTGACTTGAACCACTCTTCCTCAACCCACAGCTCTACACACGACACACACACACGCACGCACATGCACGCACACACAAATATGTAAACATAAACACAAATGTCTGCTTGTAATCAATGATTGTGTTCTGACCTAATATGTCATGCTTTGTTAGCTTCCTCCACCTCTGTAGTGTATCCACTGGGAGTTTCCTGCTCTCCACCATGCAGTGCTCCATTATTTCTTACTCTGGCAGTCTTTTTCAGGTATACACAGTACTTTTTAAAGTATTCTATGTACACTTCCTCTTTCTACCTATTTTTGCCTAGTTCATGAAAATGTCTCTGTAGCTTTCCTTAGCCACTTCAGTACTGTTGTGACCCACTGTCCTCTCTGGAATCATAATGACTGTTTAGAACAAAGCTGATGAGAAAGATTTCTATCAGGTAAAAGATATAATGTATATTTTTAATGCACTTTTACAGGACTGGGAGCATGGCTCAAATAGTAGACTGCCTGTCTAGCAACTGAGAGGCCCTAAGTTCAACCCCCAGTACCACCAAAAAAAGCAAACAAAAAATAAATTAATAAAGTGCTCTTTAACATATGGAAACTAGTGCCGCTGTTTTCCAAAATCTTAGATGATCACTATAAAAATATCTATATTAATTTTTAATTAAACATGATTTTCCAGAGCCAACAGCATCCAGTAGTCAATACTGGCTTTAATCATTTTTAGTATTTTCTGTTTATTTACTTACTAGGTAAACATTGTAATTATATAACCACTATTTATCTGTTAGTGACACTAAGGAAAACAGGGAGTCTATCCCCTGCTTATAAAGGGTAGTATTGTGAGAAAAATAATTGCAAATTAAGTTTTGAGTTGTAATCTGTGTGTAAGTATATATGTACAGAAAGCAATCCCCTAAACATGAAGCTCTAATATTTTCTGTACTGTTAATTTTTTCCTTTCCTATATGGATGCCATCCTGAATTTTATTGTGGCAAGATGTTTCTCTTTTTTTTTTTTTTGTCATTACTGGGGTTTGAACTTAGGGCCTCACGCTTGCTAGGCAGGTGCTCTACCACTTAAATCACTCTAGCAGCCCTCCATCTATTCTTTATTTTAGATAATCTTTGCAAAGAAGTTCTAGAAGCATTACTCAAGTGACAGAGTCCTGCCTACCAAGTGTGAGAACCTGGGTTCAAACCACAATATTGTCAAAAAAGGGGCGGGGCCGGGAGGGAAAACTTTCAAGTCAGCTTTGTGTAAATGTTTTCTTTTTGGTTTATCTTGTACTCAGGTATGAGTGTGTGCTGTGTGTGTGTGTGTGTACATGCATGTGCATGCATGCCTGTAAACCTGACAAAAAAGGTAGCAGTGCTCCCTCTCACACATACTTCCCACCCCCAGCACAGCTGCCTCTAAATGCAGTTGGACCATAACTCCAATGGAGGGGTCCCTACCTCTGTCATCCACACAAAATAAGGAAACTGGATTGCCCTGTAAGTTACAAAATTACTTATTCCCTGCCATATAAGAGAGAGGATGGACTATAGGTAAATCTTCCCACCCACCATCTTTGTGTGATGGAACCTAGCTTGCTCCCTCTCTCTTGGATGTTTCTCCAGATGTCCTGGCCAGAGGCAGAGCAAGGGCCTGGATCTCTGGAGGACGGAAAACGTGGCCTTTATACCACGTACCCCTCCAGAGATCAGAGGTTCTGCTCACAAGATTTGAGGATGATGAGCAGCCTCTGTGAGGGAATAAGGCAGATTATTCAGTGAGTGGTACAGGGAGTGACATGGCTGAGGAAAACTTTTAAATTCTTGTTTTACTCTGTACAAAGATTTGAAGTATTAAATCAACTCATATAATTTTTTAAATAAGTCTTTGATTTTTTTCCTTTCTTTTGTGTGTGTGTGTATGTATGTGCGTGTGTGTGTGTGTGTGTGTGTGTGAGAGAGAGAGAGAGAGAGACAGACAGACAGACAGACAGACAGACAGAGGGGATCTTGTTATATAACCTGGGCTTGTCCAAACTCATGATCCTACTGCCTCAGTCTCCTGAGTGCTGGGATTATAGGCATATATCACCATGCCTGGCTCAACTTATTTCTAAAGATGAATTATTTATATAAACAAGACCAATGGAGTCCCCTCCAAAACTAAAAAAATTAATACTCAACTTTAAAAAGCCTAAAGTCAGAATTAAAGAATTACAGATAGCCTGTAAATACATTTAAAATATTCAGTGTTGTTAATACAGAGAAATGTAAATTGAAATAAAATGTGATAGTTTAGACTAGATTAAAAGACATTTTGTCATTAATTTTCAAAACTGAACTTTCATTCTCTATGAAATGTATTAAAGATTTTGTGTCATTCTTTTGCAAAGAAATTTGGTAGTGATATAGAGGACATTTTAAAACAAACTGGTAATCCCAGCACTCAGGGGCTGAGGCAGGAGAATTTTGAGTTCAAGGTCAGCCTGGGGTACATAACATGACCTTGTCTCAAATAAATAAAATTAAAGATAGATAGATGATAGATAGATAGATAGATGATACCTAGATAGATGAGTGATAGATAGATAGATAGATAGATAGATAGATAGATAGATAGATAGATAAAGTCCTAGTAAATCTGTGTAGACAAACAGTGGTTTATGTTCCAATATAATTTATACTAGCAATAAATGGAATGAAAATTTAGGTATAGGAATATTTAAGTAATATGCATAGATATGATAGAATGTTATTTTCTGCTATGGAAAATGGTGGTTTTTTAAAAAGAATTCTTTGGACCAAGAGTGCTTGCTCCTTCAAGGAACTTTCAGAAATTGGACTGTGCAACCATCCCACTGTGTCACAAGCCTTAAGTTTACCATATCTTAAGCATGGCTTATGTCTTGGAATAAGTATATCCCTTTCCAGTGGGAATAACATGACCCTTGACTTGAGTGATGTTTGAGAGGGAAAAGAATCAGTGCTATTACTTTACAGTTGTGTTCCATTGCTATGATGAAAATATGATAATTATTTTTAAAGGAAATATGAATGAACAGACTGAGCCATGTGTGTAGAACAGATTCTTTTACAATGTGCAAACCTAGATACTATATTCTAAACTCTTCCAGTGCAGCTCCAAGAGTATACAAGCATAATTGTTCGATTAGATTTAGTATTACTTAACTGCATTGTCATTAGCAAAAATGTAAATACAACACATGTTAAATTTACAATAATTAATATCTAACTTAGATATTGAAACTGTCTTTTAAAATTAGATATTTGAAATTGTATTTTATATGTGTCTGGTCATCTGGTTCAACTTCCAAAGAACTAAAATATTACTATTTTTCTACCAAATTTCCAACAAATGACTGCATTGTTCCTGTTTTTTATGTAATTGCTTATTCCCAATTACTGTTTTTAATTTATAGACTACTGCCTTTTGATTCTACTGTAGATTTCCTCTCTTCTCTCTTCCTTCCACATTTCTTGTTGCCTTTGGGTTGTGCAGCCATACAGCTGTGTCACATGCCAGCCTCATCTGATGTATACTAGAGTGCCTTTGAAAGTCAGTAGGAGTCTCATTGTGGATTCAGTGTTGAGTTTACATTATGACTACAGTGATTATTGTCACTCATCAATTATTCATTCTGAAGAGAAGATACTGGCTGATGCTGCCAAGGCATCAGCCACCTCATAATACTTCCTTATAGAATGTGTTAAAATGATTTACTTGAATAATTTCCAACACATTATTTTTTCATTGGTAATTTTCCCTAACTGTCATCTTGAAACATCCCATTTGTACTTCAGTCTGTTAGATGTTCGTATGATTAATTTTCTTTTAACCCAGGAAGTAAACATAAAATTTTGTTTTTAAATGTGGGCCTGGACTCAAGCCCTCTGTAGTCCCTAGCAGCTATCCAAGATTATGAGCTAACTAGATTGTCTGCCTCCAACTCAGAATGTCTTGCTCCTTCCTTAATCTTTCATCATCTTGAAAACTGAAAATGGAAAAGGCCTACAGGAAAAGCGCAGAGATAAGTGGTCTTGTAAAATCAAGTGAACCAGTCACAAAGAATTGAACGCTTTTTTCTTGGTTATAAAAGATTAATGATTGATGTCCAGGACTTCGGTGATATAACTTACATGGACTGCATTCAGTGATGAATTTACATGTGTATATCTATGTGTATATCTGTTGTACACCTGATATACTTCTTAGAGAAATATGGCATTAATTGTAATCAGACTTTTTAAAAAGTAATACACTGTGGTATTTAGAAGGATTACTGTAATTATTTAGTTAATCAGCTTTAAGACTTCAAATTATTTTGCCTTTTGTTTTCCAGCTGGAAAATTATTCGTTGCACCTCTAATCCTGGTTTTGGGATTAGCGCTAGGGGCCATAGCAGTTGTAATCGGTAAGAAACACTTATCTGAGATGAGAATTCTCTGAGGGTCGTAGAGACAATATGAGTACAAATGTAACAATGTAAATTGTTTCCTAAGTGAGGGTGATTCTTGCCTTATGTCTGCTTTAGACCACTGTCAGTCAGCATTTATTTATAAGTTCAGAAGAACATGTTTCCTATAGGATATGTTTATGTGACTGTTTTTCAATATATGACCACATTGATTCAAGTATCTTATGAAGCTTTATTATCCCACTTTTAATAGCTAGGAATAATTTAGTAAAAGAGTCATTTGAACTAGACCCAAATTTTCCAATTTTGAGTTCAGGTTGGTGTATCAAAGAAAAGAGAGTTTGGTGCATGCACCCCTGCTGCTTTGGTTTGGCCCAGTTAAAAGATGCCCTGAATAAAAAAGATGCCTTCAATGTATACTGGACATGAACCTAGCATGTGCTTGAGCATTAGAAAACCTGTCAATGATTTTGTTAGTTTTATTAATACGAGTATATTAAAATACATAGTTTAAAGCAGTAAATAGTTCACAGACTTTAACACACGTTAGGATAACCAGAAATGCAGGCTAAAACACAGATTGCTGATTCCTCCCTCCATTTGCTGACTCAGATGGGGGTGGGGCCCATGAATTTATTGACCTAAAAAATTTCCAAGTGCTGCTGATATTGTTGGTCCAAGGACCACACTTTGAGAATCATTTCTGTAGAAGTTTTTTAAATTACACACTATAGATAAAGGCTGCTTTGATAATTGTTCCTTATAGTAGATGGGATTTATTTTTTTGCTAAATAAAATGATTTTCTGCATGTAAACTTCTACTTAGCATGTAATGCATGATCAGGACAGCGAGAATTATGACATATCTGACATCTGAGTTCTTGTAATGAGTCAGGACTTTATATAAAGTAGATATAATTAGCCACATTTTATAGGTGAGGAAAGTAAGGCTCAGTGGGATCTTATAAGTAGTAGAACTGGGATTCAAACATGACAATTGGCTCCATAGCCTATGTACTTAAGTAAGATGCTAGACTGAAGAATGGATAGCATAGTGTGCAAATGATAACACTATGAATAACAAAGAACTGTACATAGTTTCATATGTTGGCAGAAAACATTATTCTACATTTAAAGTGATAATATTTAGGATGTTAAAAGGGAAAGATGCTAAAGGGAAATATAAACAACAAAGTCTTAGGATAGGTCTCTTCTTTCATGTTCATGTATTGCTAAATAATGATTATTTTGTAAAGAGTTTGCAAATGAAAGTAGAAAATTACAAATATGTAAACTTAAATGCTTCTCCTCCTGATTACTTTTATCTTTTTATCCCTAGGTTTATTTGTATTTCCTATATATTGCCTTTGTAAAAAACAGAGAAAACGATCACGGACAGGTATGCATTGGTAAAATGCAGATGATTTCACTGAACTTAAGTTGGTCCAAGGAGGAGCTATGCAAGATGGAACACCATCTGTGAGTCACATACTGAAGAACACTGAGAGGAACCTTCTGCCATCTCGACTCCCTGTGGTTCACTGCAGGCCACAATGCCTCTAGCTACGGTGCACTCCCAACATGGTATCCTGTCCTTTCCCTAAACAAATTGCTGCTTTTAAAAAATGGTCACTTTCATAAACTATGAACATCTGTTTGGTAACTCTGACTTTTGTGGTTCTTGGAAGAAAATATTTTAATTAAGAACCAGTTATCATCAAAGTTGTTCTGAGGACACCTCTCCTGAGCATTGTTTGGACTGTCTAAACCCTGCCTATCTGAGAAATGTGGTGTGAATAGCTGAAGTCCATCTGTCCCAAGAAGCAAGGCCTTTCAGAACATACAGCTTCACTCAAAGCACCTGTTTTCAAATGTGGCCCAAGCAGTGTAATTCCTTTGTCCTTTGGATAACATAATTGCTAAAAATCTCAGTGCCCAGAGGGAAGTAATGAAACTAAGCGAGAAGAATCACGAGTTGCTGATGTGTGTGTGTGTAGGGATGTGAATGTGTGTATATAAATATATATTAAAACTGGGCCCCATAAACTCGTGCTTCTCTATCTCCATGTCTCTATACTACTTTCCACATTTTCATAGACCTATTAAGAGATGATAGTTCCTTTGTGGGCATAATTTGGTAATGTATTAAATTGATGTCAATATAGACAACAGGCTGTTTTGATTTTGACCCTTTCTATTTCTTGCTCTCTTTTTGTCATATACACAGACATTTGTGCAATGTCACCCTCAGGCACATCAAATGATAAAGCTAGTAGTATGCTTTTAGGACTCAAGTACTCAAGAGTTGTCAGATTTCTTGTATTTTGCCACATATGCTTCACTCTATGGATAAATCCTTCATGTAGGATTATTTCATCCAAAGAACCGGTTTTCTGTAAAGGGAACTGCTTAACGCCTTTCAGCAAATGCCTGTTCCACTCATTTTAATTATCAACTTAGAGGTAATTCTACTTTAGGTCAACTTTTTAAATTATTTAATATCCTACCTGCTTTTACTCTTTTCTCTTTCTATCTTTTTAATTTGTTCCCAAGTTTTTCACAAAACAGATAATAGTTTTGAAGAATTTTTATTATATTTACTGTTCAAATACATAATAATTTGTTGATACCTCCTTATAGAGTCATAATTTGAAAATCAAATTTTTTATGTTCATAGGTTCATCTACAATATAAACTGATTTTGGAGAAGGAAACAAAATGAAGAATATATTTTCAGGAAGTTTTTCTAAGATGAGAAATTGTTGAAAATAAGAAAAAGGGAATTAACTAAAAGTATTATATGCCTTTGTTCTCATCACAAAAGTTTACAGGAGAAAGGAAAAAAAGATGCCTAAGAAGCCTGAAGCTTCCAGTTGCCCTCAAATTCTAAAAATTAGCTATCTACCATAGATGTAGCATTTATTTGTCTGCAAACATATCTCACTTGAAATAGATTGTATGACAAAATATGCATTAACATGGGTAGTTCTTCTCTGTTGAGCTCCAGAGTATAAAAATGTTTTATCATCTCTGGCCTAAAAAATTCCAAGATGGTGAAGGTTACTTGCATGAATAAGAAGTCAGCATGTTTGCATTCTTTCTGAATGATATATATAGTTAGCTACACAGCTTCTTGACTGAGTTGTCTATTTCTGGTTACAGGAGGGTGTGACATTTATGGTTCTAGAATGGCATATTTCTAAAGGATAACATGAGACAAGAAAAACTGATGCACTGTTTTCACAAATTCATCTTTTCATCCATTCTTTCATCCATCCATCCATTGGACAGATATTTATTGAGTACCTGTTTTTCTAACATTAGACCAGAAAAATGAAAATTTCTAGCCCAAATACATGTCTCTGTCATAAGATGCTTAATTTTTGGACATTTCATTCCGAGACTTAGGCATCAATTTGGCAATGTATGAATATGTATTGTACATACATATATATGTCACATATAAAAATACATATGCCATACACATGTATACCAACTGGATGAACAATGTACTCTCTGGTCTTAGATCATCTATTTTCTTAGGTTATTGTATGTGTTGTCTTTGGCCTACTCAGGGATTTTTATTCCTTTCTTTAAATAACTTACCTTTTAGAGGTATTTTCATATAATTTGGAAAACTTTCCAACATACCAGTTACAAAGTGGTGTCTTGTCAATGAAGGCTGTTTCATCAGTGATTGGGAGAGTATGCACTGTATTGCACAAGATTCTCATTTTTCTATTGCACAGATTTTTTAAATAAATGTACACATTTTTCTCTTTAAAGGTTGAAATAACCTTTAAAGGTTATTAACCTTTCCCTGCTGGTGACTTAATTTGTGAATTTTTTTTTTTTACTAAGTTGCAAGATCTCAGAAAGAGAAGAAAGTAAAAAGGATTATTTATATGTCAGTGCCAACTTTGAAGGTAAAACAATAGTGTACCTTTAGGATAGATTCTGAAAACTACACTAGAGAAAGAAGTATACACTTTAAATAAATATCTTTCTATCCAAGACTTGTCATTTTTATATGTTATTATTATAAATTTAATATATGCTCCTTAAAAAGTCAAACCATATAGAATTAAAAAAAAAATTCTTCTGCTTACTCTACCCCTTGTTTTCTAGGGGTAACTGCTGCTATTGGTTTGAGGCTCTCTTTCCAGGCACTTCCTACAAATTTACAAAGAAGTACATATGTGCCCACATGCTCCTGGGTATATTAATTTTATACAAATAGAATAATAATATTCTTATTTTTCTGTGACTTTTTCATTTTATTAAATATTCATAGATTACCTTTCCATAAGAATTTATATAGATTTATCTCATTCTTTTGTAAATTACTAAGTAATTCATTGTAGTAGGGGGCTATCTTTTAGTTGACTCAGTCTCCTTCCTGTTCAAAGAATATCAAAATTGTTTTCACTTATCTATTACAAAGAAACCATCAGTGAAAACCTTTTATGAACATTTCCATGAATTTTTAAATTCGATTTTTACAAGATATTTGTAGTAAAAATTTTGATGCATGTTCAGAAATTCAGATCATAGAAATAATTTGAGACCCTTTGTTTGAAAGTAAAAGTTATACTAGAATGCTTAATTTTTAAAGCAAAGCATCTTTTTAAGAACAATTCTTCCCTGTTTGATTAGCCAAATAAATACCTTGACAAAACTTAAAAGAGAAAAATAATCTTTTAATAAAAATGCAGTGTGATGAAACATCTTGTCAGGTAATAAGAGAAAGATGAATTGATTTTTGGGTTGTCTAGCTTTAAAACTTGAGGGATCTAAATGAAATACTCAAACCAAATCGGTATTTGTTACTTTCTTTAAACATTATCCATGTTCATGCGTGTTGCTCAACAGACAAACTTAATTATGCCATTATGAGAAGGAGGAAACAATATGTTGGCAAATAAAAATGCCCACAGTTCCATAGAAAAGTGAATTAGATTATGTAAGTCTTGGTGGAATGATTATAAATTATGTAATAATATGAAACATTCATTTTATAGTGAATCACAATAGTTCCCTTGCGATTTCTGTATGTGAAATGAGAAGAGAAAAGGTATCAAACCCTGCGGTACAAGCAACATCCTTTTGCCACCACTTCCATTTTTCAGTAGGTGCTATTGTGTCCTAAGAAAACAGACAGGAAGACAAAGATAAGGGTACACCAGTCACATTGCAACATAATGTATTTAGCTGTACTTTCTGTACTATGGGATCAAGATTCAGTGGTGCCTGTGAGGAAGTTCTTTGCTCTGTGATGTCCCTAGTTAAGCCTTTACCGTTCAATCTCACATCCGAATATATGACCCAGTGCTCCCATAAAGTACTCTGTAAGTCCCTGTGCCCCTCCCAACCTCATTTTTCTCCACCCCTCTGATATACAAACTACTCTTCACCAAAAGAGAGGAGGAGAGGCAGAAGGGGAGAAGAGCTCACTCTGGCCTGTTCAGAGCTTCAGCATTCCTTCCTGACCTTTGTCAAACTTGAGTACATCTGCCAGCACTAATCCAGCTTCTTCCTTATTAAACAAATGCAGTTGTTTAACTTTCACAATGTCTGTTATAATTATACAAAGTTAGTTGTCTAAATAACATTAGTTGGTATAGTTTAACTATAAAAGTAAGAAAATCCAGGTCAAAAGCCATTTTACATTTTAGTTTTATAAGCAAGCTGCATTATGCCTTAATGTGGGTCCTCACATTAGATCAGATACTTACCCTTCCAGATCTGTGGCTGAAATCAACCCAACTATTAAAAATGATTTTTCCTGGTCAGCTTTGTTTTGTGTTAATATCTGTGATAAATATAACCTTAAAATTCCATAATGCACTTTAAAATACTTGTGCCATTTAAATAATTTAACAATAAAGTTAAAGCAATTTATACATATATTTCAATGGAATAAGTAGAATAGTACTGTTAGCATAAGTGTCAACTCTAAATTTGTAGAGAATTGGAAGTTAAACATTTTAAACAAGTAAAACACCTGAAACTATAGTAATCCTAGAAATTTGAACTCCAAACATAGCAAATAATATTTAATCAGTGCTACTTAATAACCTAATTGGAATGTTTGTTTAAAATATTAACTATACAGAAAATTTCAACTGAGTTTTCATAGTTCATGAATTCTATAAAAGAAGTTCCCTGACAAGAAATAATAAAACAATTTGAGCATATTTTGTTTTTAAAATCATTGTAATTTTATTATGACATTTCCTTCTGTTATTAAAACTAAGTTCCAAAACACATTAATACACATTTTCACAATTATTATTTTGATTAACCTGAAATAATTCTATTGAAACATTAAAGTATGATCTGAACAAAGAATTCCAAACCTTAAGGAGTATTTAAGATTGTGAAATGTTACTTTGTAGATGCAAACCAATGATGCAAATCTTTAAAGAGAAATACAGTGGGATTCCGTTGTACCTCTGCCTTTGAGGATAGAACTAGTATGGATTTCATAGCCCTGGATTATATAGGGCTTCTATTTTGTACATCACTTTTGTGAAGCTATACCTTTACTTGACTTTATCTAAATCTACAACAGAGTCATAGTAATGTGAGAATATTATAATTGTCTATTTGGAACATTAGCTAAAGCCTTAATATATATCTTATAGGTTCCTATATATGTTGCCAACTAAAGAAACATGTAATTATGCATATTAGAAACTGTAGGGTTTTTTCTTTTGGCTAAAGAAGTTACTGTTTTGAAAATAACAACATAGACTTAAAATTCAATAAATTATTATTTTTTTAAATACACAAAACATTGCCACTGCCCCTTTTCTGGCCATTTTTCTGTGGCATCTGAAAGAAACTTCATTAGTTATATTTAACTCTCTATCAGTTAAGACTGTGCGGACCGATTAGCAAAGAAACTTTTTATTCTTCAATTCTTTTGCCACACATTTTGTCACTTTGTTCCATCATGAACATAAATGACTCTCAGTGCAGAGGTGTCCACACATTTCAAAATCAAATACCTATTTACTCTTAGATTTCTAGATTATCTTGCTTTTCACTTTAGCAGTCCCCTTCCCTTCCCATCTTGGCCAAATGTGGAATAAATTGTCTCACCATTAATTCCTTTCACTCTAATGGCAATGAAATTCAACACTGAAAGGTCTTTGTGATTTATCTCTGATAGTGAACATTATTTAAAATAATAAAACATTAAATAATGTTTAATTTAAATAATGTTTATTTAGAAATACATCAGGAGTGCCTGAGACATTTTTCCTTCTTCTTGATAGAAGTCAAAACTCTGTCTGTCAACCAAGAAGTAAGTCAACTGAATGACAAGATGCCAGTTGGACCAGACAACTTAATAATACTCTAGAACCAAAAGAACCAAGCTTCAGAAATTGCTTCATTATTATAAGATTAATATTGTGCCCACATATTAGTCGAGCAGAAAGCGTCTGGGGACATTTATCCAACCTAACCCAGAATCACTTATCCTTCATCCAAAATGGGTTATGATCATGGTTATTGGCTTTGATTTCAGCAAA